TGGGACTGGTAGCTACCCTTGTTGTCAGAGGAGAACCTTCATGAGGTGATGATGGAGGCAGGTTCAAAGACCTACAGCCAAACAACAAGCTGAGCCCAGGAATCCTGCTGAAGAGAGAGAGGAGGGATTGTAGGAGTCAGGGGGTTCAGGGATATCAGAGGAAAACCCACAGAAATGGCTAGCCTGGATCATGGGAACTCACAGAATCTGAGCCAATAACTAGGAGCCAGCATGGGACTGACCTATGGCCTCTGTATATATGACAGTTGAGTGGCTTAGTCTCTTTATGAGACTCCTAACAATGGGGGCAGGGACTGTCCCTGGTGCTTTGGATGGCTCTTGGGAATCTGTTCCTCATGCTGAGTTGCCTTGCCCTTTCTGAGAGAATATGGACCAGGGGGTACATTGAGGGAGGCAGAGAGAAGGGAGTAGGAGAAGAGAAGGGAGAGGAGACTGTGATTGGGATGTAAAATAACTAATTAAAAAAGAGAGAGAGCTCTTCTATATTCCCTGAGTCTGAAAGTACGTGCCAATACTACTTGGCAGAGAGGCTCTGTTGTCAGACTACATAATTCACAACATCTTGATGCTGGTTTCTGTTTCTCTTCTTTTCTTTTTTCATTTGTCCACTTCCTTGTTATGGGATCTTCATTCACATAAACTTCCTTTTGATCTGCTTCTCACTTCCTTATTTTATTTGACTCATTGCTTTTTGTTGTTGTTGTTGTTGTTGTTTGTTTTCTGAAAACTTGTCATATCACTATTTATGGTATCATAATAAGATGCCAAAGGATGAATGGCTGAAACAACAGAATCTCACTTTCTTTGCATTCTGGAGGCTGTCAGTCCAGCACCAACAGATCAGCACAGTTAGTTTCTTCTGAAAGATCTGTTCAGATGCAGGGGCCACTGTTTAGTGTCTGATCACATACTCATCTCTCCATATATGACCTCTGACATCCGTTTGGTCTAATTCCCTTTGCTTATGTGACTACTAGTTAGAATGGCTTGGAGCCCCTTGTATAGGTACCTAGGTAATTCTTTTTTTCCCCTTTTATGAGATTCTACTCAATCACATTTCTCTCCCTTTTCTTCCTCAAAACCCTCTCACATACCCTTCCCTGTTCTTCTTTAAATTCACCATCTCTGTTTTCATTAATTGTTATTGCATGCAAACCTGTTATGTATATACACATACATTCTTAAATATAACTTGTCTTGTCCATATAACGATTCCTGTTTGGGCACTGGATAACCAAGTGGTATGCTCTTCCCTGGGGAAGACCACCAGTTTCACTCACAACTTTCTTAGGTTGCATTTAGTTCTTTGTGTAAGGTTTGTAGAAGGGCGAAAAGACTGTAAGAGGCAGAAAATCAGGGACTTTGCTCTGATTGTGTCTCCTTATGATATCAGTTTCGCCCATAAAGTCTCACCAACATGACTGCCCAAACATGAGCTGGAAAAGGATGACACCAATGGACATGCCAACGGAGAAATGCCGAAGAGCCATCAACCTGTGTAACTCTTTAAAGCTCTCTCTCCAAATAGAGGTACATCCTGAGGTATTGGGGGTTAGAGCTTCAGTCTTGAAACTGAAGAGATCACAATTCAGCCCATAACATTTGTTTAACTTTTCAATTAACACTTTGGTTTAAGTTTTGCCACCATTTTTTATATTTGGAGTTCTTTAGTCATTTGCTCTCCATATTTATTGTCTGTTTTTTTTTTTTCATGAATTCAGCCTTTAATTTTTGGGAATGAAGATTGTGGTTTGGTTCCACACCCCATATTGTCTTTACCTCTTCTGTGTTAATTTCATGGTTTTCCTCCACTATCTAGACATGTGTGGCTATCCATCCAAACTTTTTAAAAAATAAATCTTATTTAAGACTCTGAGAAGCTGATCCAAGGCTCTGGGGAAAGAGGAGAGAGTTGAGAATGTGCTTCACTCTATTTGAATGGCGATCGGGCTATAAACCAGCTTATTTTGTTGAACCATGGGAAATGTGTACATAAAGAAGATTAAGGCTGAGCAGTGAGCTGTGATCATGGAACACAAGAGTTGAATACAACAGACTTACTTGAAAAAGTCCTATGTATTATGAAGGCTCTTGGGTCTTGATAAATTCAATGAACGTGAAGAAATATCCAATAGTAGTAGTGGAGAATTACTTTTTTCTTGTGGTTTCAAGAAACAAGACACTTTTAGCTAGACTAAACTTTGGTCCAAGCAGAAACTAGCAGGGAGAATACTTGACTGTGTGAGAACACAGAATGGTCTTCCCAATTCAGCCACCACAGGGCGAGCAGGATCGTGCTGCAGACTTTCTATGGTTCCCGTCTTAACTGCCATATGCTGTCCTTACATGAGGAGATTAGGGAAACATGGGGGAGAAACCTCATTGTTTTAATTGCAATTGAGCATTTCTATAAACAGAGGGAAAAGGACAATTCCTTTTTAAGAACACCATGCCAAATTCAGGCTCTTCCACACAATGCACTCAGTTTTAATAATGTCATATTTTCCCTGCTCCCCTATCCAACCTTCCTTTATCCCAATCTTCCTGTTTCCCCAAGTTCCCCCAATCCTCCCCTTCTCACTTTTCTCTCCCCATCCCCCCTTATCCCCAACCCACCCCACCCCCAAGATCCCAATTTTCTCCCCGGCAATTTTATCTACTTCCCTTAGCCAAGAAGATAACTATATGTTTTTTCTTGGGTTCACCTTATTATTTAGCTTCTTTAGGTTCACCAGGTATACACTCCGTGACCTTTATTTATGGCTAGAAACCAATTATGAGTGAGTACATCCCATGATCATCTTTTTGGGTCTGGGTTACCTTGCTCAGGATAGTGTCTTCTATTTCCATCCATTTGCATGCAAAATTCGAGAAGTCATTGTTTTTTACCGCTGAGTAGTATTTTAATGTGTATATATTCCACACTTTCTTCATCCATTCTTCCATTGAAGGACATCTAGGTTATTTCCAGGTTCTGGCTATTACAAATAATGCTGCTATGAACATAGTAGAACAAATGCCCTTGTCATATGATCGGGCAACAAAAAAGTTTCCCAAAGTCAAGTACCTCTTTCTCCATGTATCCTTCGTCCTGATTGGGAATGAGAAGCATCTTCAGACTGATGACCCCAGAAGGTAGGAGTTAGCCAAGATGGAAGCCAGAGCCAGCCGTCATGAAGGAGGCAGAGAGATGGCAGACAGGACTGGTGTTTGGGGTTCACTGAGTGTTTCACAAACACCGAAGAAGCCATGAGAGGGGTTTCTGAAATGGCCTTGAGTGCTGCTCTACAAACCAAATGTGGCACAACATGGTTGATCGTCTAATGAATTCCTGATGCAAGCAGTGCCCTCATGAGACCCATCGGCAAGCCCTACTTTCCACAGAGGTCCTACTTCAGAACTTTCCTCCTCAACAGATTTCACTGATATCGATTTGGGTGAGCATCTAGTACAGCGATAATGTGCTCAGGCAGAGAGGTCCATGCAACTAACCCAGATTCCCAGTTCCGTGATTCTCTGTGACTTAGGTTATATTTCCATGTAGCTATGGCCACTTAATATAGGTTCCCCAAAAATATACCTGCCCTAGACTAGATGTATTATTTTTTGTGTGTAATTGTGTGAAAATCATGATGCCAGTCATTGACTAAACCATGACTATTAGTATTGATCATTTATTAGGACAGCTATTGTCTTCAGTCCTCTAGGATTACCTGATTCTTCTTAGCATAGAAATTTGAAGGCCAGTCTTGGTGATGAGTCCATGTATGTAGCCAAAGGTCAGTTAGTACAAGGGCATTGACAAAAAACAGGACAGGACAACTGAAAGGTGATGGAAACCAAACCCTTTGATGGCATTTCTCAAAGCTGCTCAGGAGAAGCTGTTCATTTGCTTCAATGTTCAACTTCATATCTCAGAAATGAGACTTCTAATATACTACTAACTATCTAAAGCTAGAGGGCTGGAGATGTGGCTCAGCAGTTAAAGGTGCTTGGTTTTCTTCCAGAGAATCAAAGTTCATTGCCCAGAACGATGCTGAGGGTCAGACACACAGGTACCCACACACCACACACAGGTGTGTATAAACACACACACACACACACACACAAATAAATAAATAAATAAATAAATAAATAAATAAAATCATTTTTCAACATCTAGAGTCTAAATGTTGATGGTGAATAATAGATTGAGGAAAAACTGGTTTTTCAGTTCCCAACACATGTTGTTCCTCAACTTGGAGTTTCTATTGCCATTATAAAACACTACGACCAACTTGGGGAGTAAAGGGTTTATTTCAGTTTACATTTCCACAAAACAGTCTATCACCAAGGGAAGTCAGACCAGAAACTCAAACAAGGCGGGAACTGGGAGGTAGTAACTGATGCAGAGGCCCTGGAAAAGTTCCATGTTTGCTTGCTGCTTGCTCACTCCCTCACGGTTTGCTCAGCCTGCTTTCTTGTACCACCCAGAACCACCTGCCGGAGGTGGTGGCACCCACAGAGATGTGGGCCCTCCCACATCAATTATCAATCAAGAAAGTGTCCTATAGACTTGCCTCCAGGCCATTCCTATAGAGCAGTTTATCTCAGTTAATATTTCTGCTTCCCAAATGACCCGAACTTGTATCCAGTTGACATTAAAAGCAGGCAACAGACTCACCATGGGCATAAGGAGACAGCACCTTCAAAAGAAGTCTGGAGGATGAGAACAATATCTCTCTCTCCTCTCCCTGAGAAATCCCAAATTCTTCCTTCCTTCTTCCCCCAAGACAGATTGCCCTAGGAGTGTGTCCATGAGGATTAGCTTGTCTGTCACCACCCTCCATACAGGTGAAGTAGGTAGGTATAGCAACTCCCTTGCTAGCCTGATATATAGAGGAAAATTAGGAGGGCATCAATTCCTGTGCCGACAAAGGAGTTTAGAGACCTGGAGGTTTAAAGGGGGCTAAGGATCAAATGCAGGACTCTGAAGACTGGCATTAAAGGTGGAATATATTAACTTTTACTGCACAAATAAATTTGTGGGCACAGATTTTCCAGAAAACTCATCCTCACTCTGGAAATGTTTCAGGGTCTCTTCTTCCACACAACCATTGGTTCCTTCTTTCTGGTCTTCTGTCAAGAAGCCAGTATCCATTTCCAGCAACCTCTACTCACATTTGAAGTCCCACACTCCCAGGCTCCCACCCTCTAATTTCACAATCATTTCATAAGGCTTCTTCTCCATCTTCTCCTTGCCCAGCTTCATGGAAAAAGTCTAGAGTCCTTCTCCCTGTGAAACTACAGCAGAATCCTCAACAATGACCCAAGAGATATTCAAGTGTGGTCATCTGAGAGGATGCTGGGATGATCCTGAGAAACAGAGAGGAAATTTTGTTTTCAGGAGAAATCGAAAATATTTCCCTATTCGTCTTTGTTTTTATTATTTATTCTTTGAGTCTTTCACATCATGCATCTCCATCCCATTAACTTTCTCATCCCTTCATAGCCACCCTTTGCTCTTGAAACTCCTCCCAAAAAATACAATAAAATTTAAGAAAGAAGGAAAAAAAAATCAGTCTCGTCATGGAAGCTGTGGTGTGACACAGTGAGTCACACCGTAAACCCTTTTACCCATACACCTTTACTTGCAAGAGTTGACTGCAAAAAGTCATTGGTCTGGTTTGAGGCCTCTGGCTTCTGCTGCACTATCTGTGCTGGACCCTCCAGGGAACTCGGCTTGGTTATCCTGCTGTTGCCCTGTGTTGTGGAGATCCTGCCGCTTTGGGTCTGCAGGGCTATCTCCTTCGCATGCTCCAGCAGACCTCAGATGGGGTAGATAATGGGATGGGCCAACTCATAGCCCTCCATTCTGGGCCTGGATAGTTGCATCGTGATGAATTCACCCCTTGCAGAGGTGAGCAAGAGACAGGACCAATTCTCCTGCTTTCCTATCCTCAGGGTCAGATTTCCCACACCTACACCTTCGGGGTCAGATCTACTGTATTGCCAGGCATGGGAACAGAGGTCACTCACTTGAGTGCAAAAATAATTCTTAAAAAATAACTTATCCATTAAGAATAGAGGCCTAACATAACGGTATTGACCTGAAGAGAAGGATTCAATGGTAAGAAGGAAGTAAGGCTTCTTCTGTGACAATGGTTGGTCAAATTTTCCTCTGACTTAGAGCCTGTAGACTCATAATTAAATCTCCGAGGAAAAAGGGATTGAAAATAGCAACCAAAAGAATAAATATGACAGCAGAAGAAAACGATTCCCATCATATCAGGGAAGGAAACTACGTGGTTCTAGTGCTCTAGAGATGCTGCATTGGTCATTTTGGCTCAGGAGTAAACACTGGTACTAGGATGTCTGGCTTTAATGGCAGGGGTGGGAGTAGGCAGTGATAGAAAGGTATTTCCGACTGTTGTCTCAAAGTCACCAGAAGGTTAATGGCACCTTTTTGTTTGCTTTATTGGGATGAACAATGCCCAGAGCAAATAATCACATACAGCCAAGGCACATAGAACAGAGCAAACCTCCTGTGTGAGAAACTCTGTGCTATTTCTGGGAGCTCCGCATGACGAGGAGGTGCTTACTAAAGAGAGCTTGTGGGTGCACTTACACTGTTGGTGTGCCCTCACTTCTACCCTCTGGCTGCCGGCACGGTGTTCAGTCCTAAAACAGCCGGGCAAGAGAAATTGACATTTGTTACATACTTACCATGTGTTAGTTGGCGGGACAAATGAATTCACACCTGCCCAGCTGGTCAGGATTGCACACAACGATCGCACTTAACGACAGGGAACATCTTCCATGGAGGACTGCTACCGAATGGACCATGTCAGCACGTGACTGATTGACTCAGCGCCATTCATCATTCAGTACCGTGTCCCAGATGAACGCTGCCAGCCTCATTTAGAGATCCATTATGTTGTCTTCAAGGAAACACTTTCCGTACAGGAAGGAAAACAGCACAAGAGAGAAGTTGATGGGTCCCAGCGGTGGCTCTGAGGCTTCTTATCTGCACCATCGGAGACATTCTAGAAGAGCCCTGTTACAGTGACCGGGAAAGCCTGTGTAAGCAGTGTTCAGATCTGGGGCTCTTGTGTCCACTAGAAACACAATCTGCTCCATTGCTTTAAGCACTCATTGAATTTAGAGAAATTAAATCCTGCTTGAGACAATTGACTGCACGGATAATCCCGAGATCAAAGCGCCACGCTGCAAAGATAAAGCGATACTTCTGAAGTGCTCGAACCTTTTTATGTGAAGCCAATGGAGGGTTATAGACAAGAATGCATGCGGATGGGAAAAGTAAAGAGAGGGAGGAGGCTGAGAAGTGCTGGTCCTTTAGCTGTCTCAGGACCCCTCAGATGTTCTGGTAAGCCCGAACTCACTACCTTGTTGGCCCAGTCTTGTTCCACTTCCTGTATGACCTGCCCAGTAAGTGGTCTCAGCACCCATGCAGTTCCATAACCCTAAAGCCAAGCACCAAAAGCGCTTCTCCCCTGCCAATCCTTGCGTCTCGCCAGTCACTGATTCCTTTCGTAGCTACCCGTCAATTATTTCTCAACTCCTCCCTTTGGCTCAGCCACAATTAACCTACATGAAACAAAGTCACAATTATCTTTTTGCTTACGGAAAATTTTCTATCTGACTCTTTCCACCCTTTTTACCCCCTTTGCAGGAACTCTTCTTTAAGGTATTTAGAAGTATAGGAAAGGAATTGAAAGATTCTTACCACACAGGAAAGATAACTATGTAAGGAAATGGAAATGTTACTTTGTTTAAACAATATATACTGTATATATGTATATATTACTATATTAAATTGCTACATTATATTCTATAAATACATAAATTAAATAACTTTGAATGAAAAAAATGATGACAGTGATATGGGCCTCTACTTTTAAATAGAATAGCTAACTTACCCACATTTATTCTAGTCTTTGATATGTATGTTCTTATTTTTAATATTTTACAATATTAAAATTTTGTATTTTCCCCTCACCATGCCTGCTTCTCATTTCCATTCTTTCTCCTTCCTCAACAAAGTCGAGTCAGTTCCTCTGGGAAGCTTCCATGACTAATAGAAATCAATTTATCCTCCTGAGAGGTGCCTTAGTTCCCTGTTTCCACTCGCCTTAGCCCAGGTCACATGACTTAACCTCTGACCTGGGCATCCTCTGAAAGTTGGAGCTACACATGCTTCTCAGAGCAGTAGGAACTGAGTGTGTGTTATTGACGAGTGTGCATGGAGCCTAGAGAGAACACATTCAGAACTGTAGGGACAGGGACCTGGAGAGACCATGCTAGAACTTGTGTGTGGAAATCAGTGGGACTTGAATAAAAAATAAATAAACAAAAACACACACACACACGGCAAAACAAAACGTAAACGAATGCAGACAGATTGTAAAAATACATACAGCTCAAAAAGCTCTTAAACTATGAGACTTTTCTTGCTAAATCTGTTTAAGGACACTAAGATCTAACGCCGTCATTTTGTACCACGCGCTCTCTTTTGCCCAGTTTTCAGAGTCCACTTCTTTCTCACTGCTTTCCCAATGCTGAAGTGCCCTGACAAACTTCCACAAGCTTAAGCAACAGATACCCGTGGTCTTGCAGATCTGAAGTTTCAGCTGAGATAAGAGGTTCCCAAGGTTACTACTTCCTTCGGAGGACTCTGGGAAACAGTCTCTGCTGTTCCTCTCTCCCAGCTTCTGGGTAGCCTCAGCCATTCCTTGGCATGGTGATGTGTTTCTGCTTCCCCTGCCTCTTCACATTGTGTAACCTCTATGCATGGCATCTTTTCATAAGGACATCTCTCATACTGGATGAGGTCCACCTTTTTCCAGTATGATCTCACCTTAAACAATCGTATCCACAAGGAATTTATTTTCAAATAAGGTCACATTGTGACATACTGGAAGTTAAGGATATATTTATCTATTATATACAATCAATAATACTCATAAATACTTTATAGCTAACATTATTGGGGCTTTGCCTTTAGGTCCATGTCTACCAAAAATTTTAACACTACCTGCTTTAAGTGTCTAAGGAAAGAAAAATTCAAATTAATTTTATATTGAAATTATCTTTAACAATAGTAATTTTGATGACACATGAAAAATTCACTTCAACATACTTACTTCCTACAAACTTGTGTGTGCAAAGTTGCCAAAGGGAACATAAAACCTCTGGAATGCCTTCCAACACCATGTAGGGAAATCCTGGCAGACTGGGGGGTTTTACATCTAAACGAAAAACACAACACTTTCAGAGATATTATCCTTCACAAATGATAATGCTTAGGTATTTATACAAGAGTTATTTATACTCTAAAAGTAGCTTTTGTCAATAAGCAGAAATACTACTTTAAACTATTGCTGTTTTAGAATTCTATTGCAGTACTCTCAATGTTCAGATCAGTAACACTGAGTGTTTCTGACCTGGGTATTACACCTCTTGACTATTGTGATACAGTATTACTAAGCAGAATTGAAATTTTCTTTGATTCTTAGTGATTTTTTTTCCACTAGAATAAAAATACAATTTTGTGAAGGGCAGAATTCATTGTTATGTAATTGTTAATGGGTTTGAAATTAAAGGTTGAAGAAAAGCCAAGTTTTTAAGTTAACCATTTTGATTAATGAAATATTAATTTTGGACCCATGAGATTATCATAAATAGTCCTGTCCAAACATAAATCCTCTTCCCAAAACTGAAAGCAATTAAAAGACCCTATGATTGCTATGTCCTATAGACACATTAAGAACAGAGGCTTTTCTTTTTCTTTTATTTATTAGATTTTTAAAAAGTACCAATCCAAATTCCCAATCCTTCCCCTCTTCCCTTTTCCTCGACACACCCTCCCACTCCACCCCCATCTAATCATCATGGAGGGAGGGTAAGGCACCTTGTTTTATGGAAGGTCCAAGGCCCTCCCTATTATATCTAGGCTGAGCAAGGAATACATCCAAAGAGAATGGGATCCCAAAAAGCCAGTACATGCAGTAGAGATAAATCCTGGTGCCACTGCCAGTGCCTCCTCAGTCTGCCCCAGCCATGCAACCGTCAACCACATTCAGAGGGACTAGTTTGGTCCTATGCTTGTTACTTTCCAGTCCAGCTAGAGTTGGTGAGCTCCCATTAGCTCAGGTAAACTGTTACAGTGGATGAACCCATCATGGTCTTGACCTCTTTTCTCATATTCACATTCCTTCCGTTCTTCAACTGGACCTTGGGAGCTCAGTCCAGTGCTCCGATGTGGGTCTCTGCCTCGAACAGAGGCTTTTCAATAACCTGTCAGTGAAGAAAGAACAGCAGACAACTGGGCCTCATTTCTTTGTGAGGTTGAGTATCTGTGAAGTTATCACAAGGAAAGAGAGGTTAACAAATACAATCTTTTCTTCTGTGAAGAATGAGAAGTAAATAACCAGACTAATTTTCAATTATATTGACAAATTTGGAGAGCTCCAATTTGATCAAATAGATGAGTTTCTTTTTAAATGCAAGCAAATATCTATTAGTAGTTTACAATATTAAAGAGTCACATAGTGATAATAAACAAACATGGCTGTGATGTGGGAGAGATGTAGCTCAGTGATAGGAGTGTTTGTCTGGTTTGTCTGAAACAAGCAAATAACAGAGATGGCTCTGTTATTTTTACTAGTCATCTGTTATGTTTAGTAGTCATAAACTCACAGCAGGTATGATTGCCTGGATATGACTTGCACAAACCAGTAAACATTCCATGACGGGTGGTCAGTGGGCTCACCAGACACCCCAGACTAGAAGTTATGGCAACTGATGGAAGCTAGGAGAGAAAGAATCCCTTTTCTTCGAGGGTACAACCTTTTGTATGCTGCCCATGCAGAGGATGGCCTATACTCGTATGCCTACTTGAAGCATAAATTGGGCTCAGTGAGTTGTAAAGAAAGAGAATAGAAAGAAAGTATGATGTTGGAAGTATGGCAGACAGCAAAGGGAAAAATAAGGGTAACTTTACTTGTCAGGCAGGAATAAAGAACTCCGTGAGTCTCAAAGGCAAAAGTACAGCAACAGATTTCTTCAGGAGGCCTTGAGGTGCCTGTTGGGGTGGTCGCACGTATTACAGCCCTGTGCTTTTGGAGGTTTCAGGGTGTCAAGCTCAAAAACTCTTACCGGGCTTTAGGGTGCCCACGACAGCAGGACCTTCTGCAGCAAGCAAGTCTGCAGGCTCAGTAGCGGGAGTAGGGGCCCTGTCTCTGGCAGGTCTTGAAATACCAGAATCTCAGGTCTCTGGTGGCTGAGGCAGGAATGAGACCCTCTGCCTGCAGCAGTTGAAGTTAGGGGCACTGACTGGAGGTAGGATTCTGCCTGGGCAGAAGCTTCAAGCAAGGGCAACTGGGGAATCCACCACCCCCGAACTGCCTACCCCCACCCCAGGGGTGTGGTTTGACTTTCTCTGTCTTCAGCAAACTGTTTCAGGCTCTGAGACAGCAGAGATGCTGGAAAGTCCTTCTATCATGAGGAAGTATTGTGGAGGGAGCTTCTGGACTTTGAGGTTTTTCTCCATCTTCCTCCTCCAAAGATGCTACCAGCTCCTGTCACTGTGGTGGTCTTTGCAGGCAGCTGTCTGCTGCTCTTACCCCTGGTAGCCCTGAAAAGCTCCATGCTGGGTGGGAAGCTTCACAATGACCTTTTTACTTTCATCAAGTCAAGGATTCTGTCTCCTGCCCCCATGACACTGGTATCGTTGACACGGTTTTGAAGGTGGAAGTTAGGAGACCCAGTCCGTCTAGGTCTCGGTGCTTAATCTAGATGGATTTACAGTTAGTGTGAGTCTCTTAGAATGGGCTAAGCTGTTTGAATTAATGTTGCCTTTCGTATTGAAGCTGGTCATGTAGGAATAAGTGGTACACAAGGTAATAATAATAATAATAATAATAATAATAATAAGTGGTACAAAGAGGAGCTTGTACCAGTAAAGGGGACCCAGAGGTCAAGCAAAAATGTCTCAGAAGAGGAGGTGACAAGCTGAAGATCAGAGGCAAGGTTCAATGCAACCCTGAACTATAAAAATGTGCTAATATGTCCCATAGTCTGAGCATGCGTGGGGACGGGAGCCATGTTCTAAAGGCAGTGGGCAGCCTGGTAGCCCTACCACAGTGAGAAGAATGGAGAGCTGAAAGTCCTCTGGGCGCTCAGTACTCCTCCACTTAAAATAAAAATTATGCTAAGATAATTTTATTTCACATCCAGATTAGGTTTTAACAAATTAATTTAAACCTAAATGCATAATTGATTTTGAATAATGAATGAATCTTTTGTAAAAAAAAAAAAGTCTCAGAAATTATATTATAATATCTGGTAAAACTGAGCTAATAAGACCTCAGCACTATCAAGTTTACCAATATAGCTGCTTACTATATATTGAGAAATTCTAGGTCATGGTTCTCCCTGAAGAGAAATATGCAAAATTGCACCAAATCCCAATGCTTGGTGAAAATCACTATTCCCAGAGAAATATTTTTATGTATTATAGATTTTTAACTTATAGACCCAATTTTTACCTGTCTCTAAATATTGTTTATAGTAGGTGTGTGGAAGATTGCCACAGAGAAAAATGACATTCAAATAATCTGATCTGTTGTCACTTATATAGGCCAATCAATGAAAAATAAAAATAATGACTGGATGGTTTTTTTCTCCCAAGCAAAAAAATTATTTTACATTATGGAATTAAAATCTTTTTTTAAAAAATTTAAGTATTACAAGGATATTAGAAACAAAATAAAATTAGCCATAAACCCTAACATCCTTGATAGTCTTGAGTGTGTGTGTGTGTGTGTGTGTGTGTGTGTGTGTATACACATACATGTATTCTTATAATACATCATTATCTTTACTAACTGTGGTAATTCAACTAACAAAATTTGGTACTAATCTTAGCCACTAAGGTGAAAATATTCGGGCTTATTAACAAAACACACAGAGACTTTCTCATCTCTCATTCTGAAACCAAGTGGCAGAGCCCTCCCTAAAGTTGGCCAAGTTACACAAGGCCTTTGGGCTAGAGATGACTCATCAATGGCCAGTCACGCAGGCAACTTGGGAATTTCCAGCCTTCCTCTGGTGAGCTTCCAGGGCTGTAATTCAGGATTCTCACCTGTCTGCCTCATCCTCCCTCCGTCTTCTCAGCAGGGAGCAGTGGACCATATTCGGAAAGGTGTGAGAGCAAGTTTCTGGAGAGTGGGAGTCTTACTCACACGTGTGGACGTAAGTCCAAGCGAAGCCTTCTCTAGACCTTCTGGGGACTTCACTTCTTATTTACCTTAGGATACCGTCATACCGTGAGGGAGAGGGGAGCCAATGAAGTTCATTTGAATGTCTGTCTCAGACTTCATTTCTGACCCCTGTTTCTGGTCCTCGAAGCCCTTTTGTCAGGGGGTACTTACGGCAAGTGTACACTCACACGGGTCTCTGCTACGTATTAGTCATCTGAGTAATTCCTGGTGGCCCCAAGAACCCCGGAGCTCTCATTTCTAACATCTCAGGAGTCTTCCACCTTCTAAGAACTTCTAAACCTTGTTCAGCCATTGCTTCTTGAGTATTTCGAACAGTCTCGATTACAAATTCTCAGTTTTAAATTTGAAACATGCCTATCCAGTTTATTTATTTTTCATTGAGACTTGTCTCCTTGAGGCCAACGCCCAAAGCTCAAGGTTATAAACAGCTTTGCAGCTCGAGCTAGCCGCTCTTTCAGTGAAACAGCTGTGGTGGCGTCATGTGATTTCCTTTGACCAGAGTGAGTTTCATTAGCACTAATGAAAAACTGAACAAAAATTTCTCTGGCAAGAACAACGCAGATCTAGTTCGTTACCCGTGGCTGGCTACTGCTGAAACTCAAACTCCTTCAAGCTTGGATCCTGTAGAAATTCCTCAAACATGTGTCTGACCAATGAGATGGAAAAAAAAAAAAAAAAGAGCACCCCTTAGGGGAAGCTGACTCTTTGTTTAGCCTCGCCATGTTGCTCTGATCACAGAGACCCTGATGTACTAACTGCCAAAACATACAGGGGACCTACTCTGAGACCCCAAGCCAACACTCGCCAGACATCAGGTTGTATGCTTGGAAACAGCCCCATCGTAAGACCTCAGTTTATCGGTGCTGTGGTTTGAAAGTGTTATATCCACCACATGCTTGTGTGTTTCAAAACCGGTTTGCCATGTGTTGGTGCTGTTTGGGGGAAGCTATAGAACTTTAAGACACAAAGACCGGCTGGTGGAATTAAGTCACTTGGATGGAATCTTGAGGTTATAGCCTTGTCCTGTATGGTCCCTCTGTTTCCGGATCAGCGGAAACGTGAGGAAGCTGCACCATCAACTGCTACTACCCTAAAAAAGGCAGACCTGGCCTCCTAGCTTTTCTCTCTCTGATGTACTGTCTCCCCTCAAACCACGGACTAAGACAAGCCTCTCTTCCCTTCAGATGCTCATTGTAAAGTGATTCGTCACCGCAGTGAGAAAGGTAACTAATAAAATTGTATTCTGAGAAGTTGGCTCGCCGCTGTAGTTTGTGAGCCTTTGGAGCTGGAGTGTAGAACTGTGAGAGTTTGGAGCTGTAGACAGACAAGCCCAAGCGGGCTGGAAGTCAAGTCTAAATGGTCATTTTAGAGAGAGGGGAACCCCAGCATGCGCACAGAAGGATAGGCACAAAGGAGTGTGTTTGGGGATGCCAAAGGGAAACAAGGATTATAATGGGAGCTGGGCTCAAAGACATTCAGATTGTGTTCTAGAAAAGTATCTAGCTATGCTCTCTCGTTTGTTTTTTTTTTTAATAAGACTGAATTGAAAAGTAATTGGTTAATTTGATTAATGGTATTGATTTCAAAACAGCATATTGTCTAAACCATAGTAGCATGGTTACTGATCGTACTTAGCTTCTCATAACCTGTGATTGCTGAGAGATTTACAAGAAGAAAAAATTGAAGTGAAACAAAAGACAAGAAAATGTATGGGTTTTCAAGTAAAGGAAAAATGTTTGAGTGTGTTTATAGTTTCTTATGATATGGGTGTAGATAAAATGATGAAAGTATCAGTACAATGAAGGGGAAACAGGGTCATTCTGCAGTTACTTAGGATAAGATCCTACTCATTAAAGAGTCCAAGATAGAAAAAATGCATATTAATTTGGCAGAAGAATGCCAGGGTTCTCTATTAGAAAACATCAGTTTACAAAAGTGTTTGCCCAGGTTCAGCCACAGAGATACATAATGGCGATTGCAGTTGTGATACAAGGGAACTGGGCTACACCCCAAGGTGACAGTAAAACTCATCATCATTTGGGGGTACATGTTTTCCAGGCATGCAAAATAGCAGAGTTACGAAGTCACAGACTTGAATCAAGGTTTCAGAAATTCAGTGAAGCCAGGAAGTGTGTGACGGTGTGTTTCCTTACATGAGCTCTCAAGTAGGCTGTATGAATCTGTGAAGGCAAAATCTGTTTCAGTAAAGACCCCAGGATGTTGAAGGTACAAAAATGTCCACTGAAACAAGCTGGAGATGTCGAGAGGAGCTGGACCACGAGAGGGGCCACATATGCTGCAGACAGCAATATTGAAGGGATGGAACCCAGACTGACACCACTGCAATCCTGGACCACAGAGCTGCAGGGTTTGGATTTGTCCCTCTGGGTTTCAGCCTTACTTTGGTGTCATCTTTCTATGCTATTTCTCCCTTCTTCCTTTGTGGAATGGGGACATTCATATCAGAGCAATTGGAAGTATGTATTTTTTTTTATACAATAGACTTTTGAACAGTGTTCAAACTGTAGAACTGTGGGGTTGCTTGAAGTTGAGCTGAATATATTTTGTTTGCATTGTGAGGTGGTCCTGAGCCTATGGGGGTCAGGGGTAGAATGTTGTGTTTGAATGTTTAATGTGCCCTACGGGGTTCATGAGTTTGAATGTTTGTTGCCCAACAGGTGGCACTGCTTTAGGAAGTTATGAAAACTTTAAAAGGTGAGGTCTGTTTGGCAAGCAGAGGTCATTGGATGGCAGGCCTAGATACCTTCCCCAATCTTATTTCGTCTGTGTCCTGGCTTGTAAATGCTTGAGGAAGCTGCACCACAACCACCCGGTGCCCTATTTAGACTCAGCTGGTCTAAGCCACCACGCTTTCTCTATCTTACTAGACTCTATCCCCTCAAACCACGGGACCAAATAAGCCTGCCCTTCTGTATAATAATGCTTCTGATGTAACTGATGCAGCAACATTGGAAATAACTAGCACAGCTAGCTAGAAAGTTGAATGATTCTAATATTTGATATAGCCAGATCTCTCAAAGGCTAATACTGTAGAAACTGGGCAGCTCATCTTAGGCACCTTGAATACTCTTAAGGAAGACGTCTCTAGGAATGCATGGGCTATACTTTTGTTGTCAGCTGCCTGATTACATAGGCTTTACTTCAACAAAAACATGAACTTGTAACTGTTTGGGTGGGATAGGGATAGAATCAGGACATGATCAGAGGCCTACTTGTGGGATTCCGTTCTCTCCTTCTACCTTGTGTGTTACAGGAATTAAACTCATATCGTTAGGCATTGTGGCAAGCACCCTTAGCCACTGAGCCATCTTACCAGCCCTGAACCTTTTGTGTGTGTGTGTTTTATTTTGTTTTGGTCTTGGAATTTTGGTTGTTTGTTTGCTTGTTTTTGTTTTGTTTGTTTGTTGTTTGTTTGTTTGTTTGTTTGAGACAGGGTTTCTCTGTGTATTGCTGGCTGTGCCAGAACTCTCTTTGTAGATCAGGTTGGCCTCAAACTCAAAGATCTATCCACTTCTGCTTCCCGAGAGATGGGATTTAAGGCTTGTGCCACCAAGCCTGACCCAGTCCTAAACTTTTTTATTGAACTCAGTTAAGCTTTTTCCATGAGCATCATTATTCTTTTTATCAAAACAGAAGAAGATATAAAAAAACAATATGTATAATACACATGACTCAGAGAAACCTACAATACAAAGAACCTGTCTGATCATTTCTCTTTATGTAAGTCACATTAGAGTATGTGCATTCATATTTCTACTATGGAAAAAATAAAAATAGCAGGTATTTAAAATGATATAGAGAAATTAGAAACTGTGCATCAAGAATGTAAAATAATATCAATAATCTGCAAACTAACATGGTGTTTTTAGCAGCTTGAAAAACAGAATCATAAAATGAGCCAGTAATTCTGTGTGTGTGTGTGTCAATCAAAAATAAAGACTTGAAGATATTTGCACACCTATGATCCCAGTAGAGCTGTTTCCCATAGCCCAAAGTGTTCAAACAGAGACAGTAGATGTATAAAACAATATATTAATTAGCCTTTAAAAGAAAGTAAATTCTGACACACACTACAATAAGAATGAACTTTAAAGACAGTCTATAAAATGAAATAAAGTACATCACATCCTCCCTGCAAAGTCAGGAATCTTTACAGGAGAGGGGACAGAATGTAAGCCAGAAGTGGTCAGTAACACCAAAGAAATGGTGTGCCTCAGATGCAGCAGGGCAGTTACACATGCGAGCTCCCAGGGACTGTGAGAACAAGCACAGGTCCTATGCCGGGAAGTTACACATGCGAGCTTCCAGGATTGTGGGAGCATGCATAGGACCTATGCCGGGAAGACACACGCAAGCTTCCAGGACTGTGAGAGCAAGCACAGGTCCTATGCTGGCTCCAGTCAGAGAAAATCCTAGCACACGGGGAAAGGTGAACACCAAATCTCTGTTGGCATTTGATAGATTCTGGGAGACAAAGAGTCGTGTTTCTTTAATGATGTCAGTCCTGATAAGAAGATCGTATACTCTCGCGGTCCCCACTCCCAAGACTAGCTGTACAGCACAAACTGAACTCAACAGGGAAAGAAGAAAGCCCAAAGCTGAGTGGCAAAGAATGGGAAGGCAGAGAGGTGGTTATTGTAGAGTTTGGGGAAAGGAGAATATGTTGAAAATACACTGTATGGAACACTCAAAATAATATTTTTAAAATGCTGTGTATGAGTTTCTTTGTGTGGTCTACTTAGAGCCATCATTCACAGAAACAGAAAGTAGGATGGCCGATGAGAGAGGCGAGAAGGTAGAGAGAATGGGAAGTTGTTTAATAAGTATTAGTTTCAGTTTTGCAAGACAGAAATGTCCTAGAAACTGACCGCCTAGCAACGTGAATACAGTTTACACTTGTAGGCGCTACTAGGCAGAAAGAACAGGAGTGAGAGGGGCATTCAACACAGGGCCACTGCGAGGCTCTGTTGGGCCGGCCAGTCATTCTGAGCCCTCACTCAAAAGCATAACTTGTCTTTTCTCAGATGCTGGCCAGAGCCCACATGTGTTTTCGGTGATATCGTGTGTTTCCTTGCTCTTTTGCTAAAGCTCCCGTCCCTACTAAATAACTACTTGTCTACCATGTGACTGTTCTCAATGCCAACTTAATAACACGACATTTTTTTCCTTTCTCTTCTCCATCTTCCTCCTCGGGGAAGATGCCCAGATTTACAGCTTGCCATTCATTGGAGGGTAGGTTCTTTTGACTTCTGACAAAATTCTTCCAGAGCTTCAAAAAAATATTTTTTTTAATGAAAAACAAACGGGGCCTTCTGCATCCATCTTTTTTCCTGGTACCATTTGATACCTATGAATATTAATATATGAGCATTCTCTGAGACCAACGGCATGGTAGATGGGTCAGTGGCTCCCTTTACAGAAGTGGTAGAGACAGGGTGGTCCTCCTATGACCTTCCAAGAACCCTCCTGTATTCCTGTATTAAATAGAAAATCCTGTCTCAAAAAAAACGGAAGGCCAGCCTGAAGCCTAAAGTACAGGGAAGCGCGACACAGCTGACGAGGAGATTCAAAATGCAGATTTCCACTGTGTCCCTTTAATGAGAGATGGACTTTAGACCACACCGAAGCCCCACCCCCTAAGGGCAATGGCCTACAGACTTTCATGTAGGGAGTTAGAAAATTGAAAAAAAAAAAAAAGAGGCAGATTTCAAGCCCCAGGACGCAAACTCTCTTGAGCCCCTTTCCATGTATTGTGTGGCCTCCACAGCTAGGTAGAGAAGAAAGCAGCACAAGGTCTTCAGTCAGAAATGGAGATCAGTTGTTCGCAGCTAACTAGCATGTTAGAGAGGAACCACTGGCAGAGGCTGAATCTGGCCACAAGGAAGGGGGTGAACTGGTGGCTGTAAGCACAGTTAGTTAGTGATTCTATCCTGACCAGGTTAACAGAACTAAAAGAAAAACTCGTGGCACTTTATAACGTTAGTTGCTCCTTCCTGGCCCTAAAGCTAAAAGGTAAACTATGACAATAAACACAGTTAATAATTATTCCTTCTTCCCTTAGACAGGACCTGAGTTCCAGTACACGTAGGTGAGTTCAAGGTTAAGGCAGATAATATGAACATTGAATACTTCATGTTTAGCTAGCCTGCAAAGGGAGACTCTTGCTTCTAAACCAAATGCTTACATCACCCTAGGAGAATGGCACTGTGTCTTCCCTTATAAAAACTACAAGGAACAAATGTCCTGGGTCGCATTCTTTCTGTTTTCCCTGTGTGCCCATCTTCTCTCTCCAAGTGGCATCTTTTTACATTTGCTCTACTGAAAGTATAGCTTCCTGTTTCTGCCTCTTCCATCTGCTGGCACATTTACCCAGAAGCGCTCTTCTCTCTCTCCCTCTCCCTCTCCCTCTCCCTCTTCCCCTCCTTCTTCCTCTCTCCCTCTCTTTCCTTCTCTCTCTCCCTCTCTTATTCTCTCTCCCTCTTTCCTTCTCTCTCCCACTCTCTCTCATTCTCTCTCTCATTCCCTTCTGCATCCATGTTTAAGTTATTTTATCACTAAAACCAAGAACCATCAAAAATTTTGCTCCTGTCCATAGCATTTCTGAAATCTATGATCGAATTATTAAGATGGTGTCTTAGTCACTGTTTTATGACTGTGAAGAGACACTGTGACCAAGGCAACTTAACAAATAAAGCATTTAATTGGGGACATGCTTGATGTTTCAGAGACTCAGGCCATTTCCCTCATGGCAGGAAGCATAGCGGCAGGCAGGCATGGCATGGAGTGGTAACTGAGATCTTAGATCTGATCCACAAGCAGAGGCACAGAGAAAGAGGCTGGGTCTGGCTTTTGAAACCTCAAAGCTTACACCCAGTGGCACAACTCCTCCAACAAGGCCATACTCCTAATCCTTGCTAGACAGCACCACAACTGGGAACCAAACATTCAGATATATGAGCCTATGGGAGTCGTTCTCATTCAAACCACCACAGTGTTCAAATTTATTTTATATATATTTTGCCACAATTAAATTTTTATTAAAAAAATTTATTCTGAGAAAATAAGAGAAATTTCCATGTTGGGTATTTGAATGGGTATGCACCCACTCATTACAAAGGCATGTTAGTCTTCCTATATTTAAAAGGAGTTTTGTAATAAAAGGGAAAGCTATTAGTCACTAGATCATCTATAGTAAAAACAGCCCTGTAGCCTAACGGTCCCTCTTCAATCTTTCCTCACCTTCCTGAAATAAATGTCATCTAATGAAATCAGTAGATGGTATGGGTTATGAATCAGGGTGGAAGACACTTCCCATACCTGGAATTTACCATCTCATGATACAAAGTCATGCAGAGGATTATTGGCTCACAGGAGTAATGTATCACCCTCCTTCGGAGGGACGAAATGTTTAAAGCAAAGGAGCAAATGAATCTTGGGAATTCATTAGAGACTGACCAGTATATCAAATTTCTTCTCAGTCCAGCATGAGGAAGAAGGACATGGAAAACAGTGGTTAGCTCAACTCTGCCATCTGTGAAGACTTCAGTATTTTGAATATACAGGGAGAAGATGAGTGGTAAATAATAGTAATATCCTACTCTTTAGTTGGGAAAAATAATTCATGTCTCAAAACTGTCTCCTTATTTTTAAATCTGGAAATAAAACTACTAAACCCATAGAATTGTTGCAAAATGCCATATTATATTAAGTATTGTGAAAGGGACACATAGTAATTATTAATTACCAGTCTTGGTCTCTATATCATTAATAATCGTGTGACCCTAAACAAAGAGTTCAAATTATGCCCTATAAAAATGTGAAGTCAATAAAGGATCTTTTGTAATCTCCAAAGAGGGTTATGAGTGATAAGATCTGATAATGCATTCATAAAAGGAGCAACTGGATAACATGTTAAAAACAGACAAAATTGGAGGGCAGTTAGGACAGGGTGAAAGTTAGGACAAGGTCATGGGCGACAAACAAAAAGGAGATGTGCAAACAGTACCGGTGTGATTGCCCAGAACATTCACACTGTCCCTGTTTGCCTTGAGAGTGTGCCAGAAACTTCCTCCCACTCTCAATGTCTGGCCCAAAAGGAAAAGACATAGTGATTAAAATAGTAATTCTTGGAGTAGGGACATCTTTGTTCTAAACGTTTCTACTCTGGGCCCCATGAACAAGCAGTCAAGGCTTTAGAAGATACTGGGAGAGCAAGAGCGGGAAGAAGCTCTCTAGCATGGTTTGATCAGGACTTTGAGATGGCATTGTGGGTAATGGTATGTGTCCAGCAGACAACATATTTTGTTTGCTTGGTTATTTTGGAGACCAAGACTCACTAGCCCCAGCTGGAACTAGCTCACTATTTAGACCAATGACACTCTTGCCTATACGTCCTAAATGCTGGGAGTACAGGTGTGTACCATCATGGCTGACTCTAGAGACTATATTTTGAGTTTGGAATTTAGACTCTTTTCCTGGGTTGATGATATACAGTAGTGACCTCAGTCACCATGCTAAGGGGCTCCGGCTCAGCCTTAAAGTCCTCATTCCCCATGCTAAATAGCCCCAACTTAGCTATGTAGTCCCACGGGCAAACATCCTGTACCACAGAGAGTTGTGCCACAGAGCTCAGAAATTTGGTAGGCTAAGTTTTTTAAATGCATTTTTAAACTTTTGATCTTTTCCATTAATGCTGGTTTCATTGGGACACAATCCTTTCTTAAGAGCATATGTACCTGGAGGATTTCATCACTAAGTTAGAAGATTCTGAATTAACTGTTCACACTCTGAAAAAGGAGAAGCTGAGTCTGTCAGTCAACAATGGTTAGAGATGAATGCATCTCCACACAACTGCGAGGATCTGGAATGCCACTTACATGACCAGTTAGAGTTGTTGAAATACTTTTTCTTAGCAACATTCCTTTTTATGTAAATTTTTTAAATTTTATATTCTAGCTCCAGTTTCCTCTCCCTCCCCTTCTTCTGCTCACCCACTTCTGCCATCCCACCCCCATCCACTCCTCAGAGGAGGTAAGGCCTCCCGTGGGGAGTCAATAAAGTCTGGTATACCAAGTTGAGGCAGGACCCAGTCCCTATCCACTATATCAAGGCAGAGCGAGGTATCCCACCATATGGAATGGGCTTCAACAAGCCAGTTCATACACTCAGGATAAGTCCTGGTCCACTGCCTGTGTACCCTCACCACCCTAACAGATCAGGCCACATAACTGTCAGCCACATTCAGAGGGCTTAGTTTGATCCCATGCAGGGTTCCCAGCTATCAGTCCAGAGTCCATGAGCTCCCACTAGCTTGGGTCAGCTGTCTCCGTGGTTTTCCCAATCATGATCCTGACCCCCACACACACACACACACCTTGCTCATATGATCCCTCCTCCTCTCTTCAACTGAACTCCAGGAGCTCAACCCAGTGCCTGGCTGTGGGTCACTGCATCTCTTTCCATCAGTTCTATGATGACAATTAGGGTAGTTACTAATCTGATTATAGGGGAAGGCCAGTTCAGGCACCCTCTCCACTATTGCTAGGAGTATTAGCTGGGGTCATCCTTGTGGATTCCTGGGAATTTTCCTAGCACCTGGTTTCTCCATAATGGTTCCCTCTATCACATATCTCTTTCATTGCTCCCCCTCTCTGGCCCTCCCCCAACTCAGCCATCTTGAGCCCTCATGTCCCTATCCCCTATCACCTCCCTTTTACTCCCCTTCCCAGTTTACCCAGGAAATCTTAACTATTTCCCTTTCCTGGGGCCTTCTTAGGGTTCTCTTTTTACATAGCTTCTCCAGGGTTGTGGACTGTAGCCTAGCTATCCATTGCTTTTATGGCTAATATCCACTTATGAGTGAGTACCGTGTTTGTCTTTCTGGTTTGGATTACCTCACTCAGAATGGCCTTTTCTAGCTCCCTCCATTTGTCATTAGAAGCATTCTCTAAGTCCCATCCTATGTGGCCCCCAAGGCAGAAAAGGCTATTTCACTAAACACGGTTTTGGTGTAGGTGAGGCCAGCACTGGGAAGTGAGTGAGAAAGGGGCCCTCTGCTCAGTGGCCTCCTCTGAGTCCCTCTGGAAACTACTCCAGAAAACATTCACTTAAGAACAAACACAGCTTCAAACTCAGCGGGGGAGTTGGCTTTTGCATCCTAGGGATTGGATGACCCTCAGTAGGAACAAGAAGGGACTCTACTGTGTTATGTAGGCGCAACCCACCCGCCCTTTACCCAGGGATCAGATAACATTAATCCCTCAGAGTCAGAGCCAAAACAATCATAACGGAGAACAAAGAATCCCATTCATACACGCTTGGGTTGCACATATTTTACACCTCAAAGAATATTCTGTAAATTTGCAAAACATCTGACAGCGCTTTCTTTCTTACCAGGAGCCAGCATCTCATCACCCCACCCCCAACCCTGCCCTGCTGTATGCTAGGACCAGTGCTCAACAACAGTTTTAAGCTCCTACTTTAAGCTCCTACTCTAAGGCTACCCACCCAGAGCAGTGAGCCTCAAGGTCCCCAGTAAGAGAGCCCGGCACCCTCAGCCTGGGCTCCAGGGGCTCCTGTGTTCTCCTGGATCCTGCACTGCCTGC